CATTAATTAGTTACCTACTGTGTAAGAGTGTGTGAAGAGTTTTATTTTGATCAGCCTCTGAGGTAGATACTCCTATTCTTATTTTCTCCAGGGCACCCTTCTCTGTGTCTTCTAGAAACCTCCTACAATGTACTCATACAGTTCCTGATACTTCCTCTCTCATTGCATTGATCATAGTTATTCTAATTGTTTACTGACTCTTTTTCTTGCTTAACTGCTAATACCTGGCAGACCAGAGACTATTTGTCTTGTCACCACTGTATCTCTAGTGCCTAATACAGTGCCTGGCGCACAGCTGATATTCAACAAATAGTTGTTGAATGAATTGTTGAATTGAAGACTCTTGGTTTTGTAGGTGGGAAAATTGAAGTTGATACTGAGAAACTTAACCAATCATCAAACTACTAAGTGAAGATTTTATCTTATACCACAGTGCCTCTGTGAATTTATTGTTCTGGGCCTGGGTTACTTCTTCCATAAAAATTGGGTAATTGCACTGAGACCGTTGCTTCCCCCCAAATTATGACTTTTTATAAGGATGCCAATGATGCCTTTGTTTGTGCTTTGCTCTATTTTTAGGCTATATGCTATATAGGTATTATAGTAGAATTGAGCCATTGGACCAAATCTTGAGGCTCTTTTGGGAATTCTCAGTGTCCCTTTAGAAATATGTTAAAATGCTGACTCTGGTTTTGTTAGCAAAATGTGAGCAAACAGTTTTAGGAGTAAAGAGGAAAGAGTCTATATATTTGGGTATAGAAGTAATCTGAGGTTGAGGCAATCTGTAACATCCAAGATAATCGGATTTTTAGGCCTTTGCATTATTGAAGACTTTTTTTAAAAAACTCTCTTTTAAGTAGCTTATTTAAATTTAATTATGTTGCCAAGACCAATGCTTTTAAAAGAAAAGGCACATTTGTGCATAGACATCATTAGATTGTAATATAATGTATGAATGTTTTGTAATTTTCATGACTTTAGCAAAAAATATTCAAGCTTTTAAAATTTGTTCATATTTGCTTAAATTCTTATGAACTGACTATTCTGAGTAAGCTGTAAGAAAGAGAAATAAAAGTAATATTTTGGTAGCATATTCCTATTTTTATGCTAGAGAAGATTAAAAAATAAGTTTAGCCCAAGAGCCCGAGAGCCAGGATAACAGAGACCTTAGCTTCTCAGGATTCCCTTCTGTATCTCTTACTGTTACTGGCGACTCCTTTCTCCACCTGGGTGCCTGCCTCAGGCCTGCCTTCTACAGTGAAACAACCTGAAAGGACACATTAAACTCCTTTTGTTTTTAATCCTCACCCGAGGAATTTTTCCATTGCTTTGAATTTTTCCATTGCTTTTCAGCGAGAGTGGGAGAGAGTGTGGAAGGGAGAGAAACATTGATGTGAGAGAGACACATTGATTGGTTGCCTCCTGCATGAGCCCTGACCAGGGCCAGGGATCAAGCCCTGCAACAGAGGTACATGTCCTTGGCTGTAATCGAACCCAGAACACTTCAGTCCATGGGCTGATGCTCTAACCACTGAGCGAACCAACTAGGACACGCTAAACTCACTTTAGATTAGTTTTCAAATTTCCTGGCTCAGCAGTGGCAAGCTGAGAAGGACTTCTGATGAAATTGGTATATTGTTTCAAAGTATTTAAGTTTTTAAAGCAAAGACTTTCAAACACATCTCAGAACCCATCAGAGGTGGAAGTAGGGACTGTGGGATTCATGGGATGGGGTCAGGAAGTAGTTTAGCCTATTCTCCAATCAGACAGCTATTTTATCTGCTTTGCTCTGGGGCTTCTCAGAGAATTTTGTTAGAAGAAAGGGCCCTCCTGCTTATAACAAAAAGTTTGAAAACCACCACTTTCAGGAAAGGTAGCTTCAGGAAAAAAAACTCTCTTTGACATTTAAAAAAAATTTTATTTTTCAATTACAGTTTATATTCAATATTATTTTGTTTTAATTCCAGGTGTACAGCATAGTGTTTAGACAATCATATACTTTACAGTGTTCCCCCAGATATTACTAGTATCCACCTGGCACCATACATAGTTATTATAATATTACTGACTCTATTCCCTATGTTGTATTTTACATCCCCATGACTATTTTATAGCTACAAATTTGTACTTCTTAATCCCTTCACCTTTTTCACCCAGTGCCCCAAACCCCCTTCCCTCTGGCTACCATCAATTCTCTCTCTGTATCTATGAGTCTGTTTCTCTTTTGTTTGTTTATATTGTTCTTTAGATTCCACATTTAAGTGGTATCTTATGGTATCTGTCTTTCTCTGACTTATTTCACTTAGCATAATACCCATGCTGTCACAAATGGTAACATTTCATTCTTTTTTATGGCTGAGTAATATTCCACTGTGTATTTTTAGGACCACTTTTCTATCCAGTTGCCTGTTGATGGGCACTTGGGTTGCTTCCATATCTTGGCTATTGTAAATAACGCTGCTTGACTATTGTAATAATGAACATAGGGGTGCATATATCCTTTCAAATTAGCGTTGGGTTTCTTCTGGTATATACCCAGAAATGGAATCACTGGGTCATAAGACAGTTCCACTTTTAATTTTTTGAGGAAGTTCCATACTGTTTTCCACAGTGGCTCTATCAACCTGCATTCCCACCAACAGTGCACGACGGTTCCCTTTTCTCTACATCCTCGCCAACGCTTGTTGCTTATTGATTTGTTGATGGCAGCCATTCTGACAGGCGTGAGGTGATACCTCACTGTGGTTTTTGCATTTCTCTGACGATTAGTGGTGTTGCGCATCTTTTCATATGTCTGTTGGCCATCTGTATGTCCTCTTTGGAGAAATACTTATTTGGGTCCTCTGCCCACTGGGATTGTTTTGTGGGGTTTTTTGGTGTTGAGTTGTATGAGTTCTGTATAAACTTTGGATATGAACCCCTTACCTGATAGAATCTTTGGCTTTTTGGTATTAGTAGACCCCAATTAGTGTAACCTGTGACCCTAGGAGAATAACAATCACAGAGTTGCTTATCCCCCTGCCCTTAATCTGTCTCCACTGGCAAACGTGGGTGCTGCTCATCTGTACTCCTCCACTTACTTAAAGCCATTTGAGGAATTCCTGTTTTCCATGGCAAAAAATGATCAAACAGCTATGCTAACACTTGGACAAAATAGCGATGTCCCTATTGAATTGACTAGGGGAGATGGCATTAGCTTAGTTTATATCATTTAGTTAAGAAATCATTTTCAATTTTAGATTTCTTTACATTCCCTTAGAAATCAAAGAAATTTTATAGGAAAAAAAAGTGACACCTTTGAGAGTAGAGAATTTGACTGCTGACACTATAATTATTACTAAGCTGATGATCTTTATTTTATAATATGGGAATTCAAGGAACAAGGGGCATTTAGTCCAACTTTCCATCTGTTGCTTGGCTCCATTAAAGGATATGCAGTATGTATTTCAGTTAGGGGGATCTTACTGCCTTCAAGGGCAGCACATTCTGTCTTTGGACAGCTCTGTTTCCTAAGAGTGTTTCCCTTTACCAAGTCAGTGTATGTCCTTGTAGAGACCTGGTTTTGCTTTATAATCTTTGAAGTAAACTTTCTCCTCAGTTCAGCTAGGATAAGGACCATGCCAGTAAGTGAATAGTTCTAATTTGTCGTAGAGAATAAGACCCCATGCTTACTTTATTCCTTTTTATTTTGTGTAGACTTCAGAAGCACACCAACTTTAACTGATTTAGCATCAAAATTTTATTTGAAATATTTAAAAAATGTATTTGTATGAACATAATGCACTTTTTCTTAATGATTCAAGGTAATTCTTATGAATTTCAGGTACTTGTTCTCTCTGGTGATACCCTCATGGCATGTTGAGTTTTATAGGACTATTTTCCTGTTCATTCTTGTTCAGTTAATAAACATTTAGTGAGTCGCGACTTCCTGGGTTCTTATATGCAAAAGGGATATAGAAATGAACGAGAAGATGGCCAAGACAGCTCTGTTAGGTTTAAAGATATAAAGGTCATTGGCTCAATCCAGAGTTTCAGGGACTTTATTATATCTCAATAAAGCTATCACTTAAAAACAGAATATAATGAAACATACACCTATAATGATGAGTAGGTTGTGGGACAGAAATGTAACATTTCTCTAGTACATCACAGTCAATATTAGACTAGAAAATAAATGGGAGGAGGTCAGGCCAAATCAAAGCGAGAAGGTGAGCTATAAGGCAGACAGATTATCCTACCAAGTGCACACACATGTGCTCTGGCATAAGGGTTGGCCTGTGTGGAGTGTTCCTGGCACAGCAATCATTTCTGCTGGGCTTAAAGCATATGGAAATAGGAGTCAGGAGATTGAGGTCAGGGCCAGGTTGTGAAGAGAACTCTATGTGGCTTCAGGAGTTTGGACTTTATTCTTTGATAAACTTTAAGTCAAGAGACTGATGAGATGAGATGTATTTTATAAATTCTGGTAGCATTGTGGAAAATGATTAAGAATAGTGTTTCTGAAACTGATCATTCATGCTGTGTCTTTGCTTTTCTGCCATACTGGGGTGTGCTTTTGGGGTGATGAGACAGGCTAGAGGAAGGAGGGGGCATAACTGATGGATTGAGTTTCTTACATATGTAATGGCCACAGTCACTTGAGTATCTGTGACTGCTTTTTATAGTTTTCAACTTCCTCTCTTGTTAACAGATTATCATTTTACATTGGTAATAGTCTTGCCAAAGCAACCTTTCCCCTAACTTCCCTTCCAATATATAGCTACCTGAAAAAACCAAATAGGCCTGTGAGCTGACCCATGAGTACAGTACCTGACATTCAGTGAGTTGCCTTGGAAACATCTATTTTGATTCTTAGAGGACTTTTTTCCTGGTTCTGGTCATATTCTAAATCTTTATAACTGAGCCATCCCATAATTTCATATAAGTGAAATATAACTGTAATTTGTTTAAAAAATCATAATCACTCATTTAAAAACATTTTTACATTTATTTTAATGTAGGTGATTGGAGTTGTGCTTCAAAAATTTCAGCAGTTCAACAGTATTTTATGTGCCAACAATAAGCTCTTTACTTGATTGCACCATGAAAAAGCTGCTAATGAGACTTGTTGAGCATAGAAATGGACCTGAAGACCCAAAAGCCATTGTTTTCAAATGAAGAATACTGAACAGTTTTAAGCCTCAATGCTTTTTAGTCACCACTGAGATTTCCCCTATAACATCAGAATGGCAAGCAGGCGAAAATCAACAACACCCTGCATGGTCCTTGCCAGTGAACAGGATCCAGACCTCGAGTTGATATCAGATTTGGATGAAGGGCCTCCTGTACTGACGCCTGTAGAACACACCAGAGCAGAGAGCATCTCAAGTGATGAAGAAGTTCATGAATCTGTGGATTCTGACAATCAGCAAAATAAAAAAGTTGAAGGTGGCTATGAATGTAAATATTGTACTTTTCAAACTCCTGACCTAAATATGTTTACTTTTCATGTGGATTCAGAACATCCCAACGTAGTGCTAAATTCCTCCTATGTTTGTGTCGAATGTAATTTTCTTACCAAAAGGTATGATGCACTTTCTGAGCATAATCTGAAGTACCACCCGGGAGAAGAGAATTTTAGGTTGACTATGGTGAAACGAAATAACCAGACAATCTTTGAACAAACCATAAACGATCTGACTTTTGATGGTAGTTTTGTTAAAGAGGAGCACGCAGAGCCAGCTGACTCTACAGAAGCTGCTTCTTCAGGAATACCTATCAGTAAAACTCCCATCATGAAAATGATGAAAAGTAAAGTGGAGAACAAACGGATTACAGTTCATCATAACTCAGTGGAGGATGTTCCTGAAGAGAAAGAGAAGGAGATCAAACCAGACCGTGAAGAAAGCGGGGAAAGTTCTAGTTCTTCGGCTCCTGAAACTAATACCAGTACTTCCATTGTCAACAGAGTACACCCAAATGCTGCCAGCACAGTAGTGACCCCAGCAGCAGTTCTCCCCGGATTAGCACAGGTGATAACCGCTGTGTCAGCTCAGCAGAATTCCAATTTGATTCCCAAAGTCTTAATTCCTGTTAACAGCATTCCCACCTACAATGTCGCATTGGATAACAACCCTCTTTTGCTTAACACCTACAACAAATTCCCTTATCCAACGATGTCAGAAATTACTGTTCTTTCTACTCAAGCAAAATACACAGAGGAACAGATCAAGATATGGTTTTCAGCCCAACGTCTAAAACATGGTGTGAGCTGGACTCCCGAGGAAGTAGAGGAGGCGAGAAGAAAGCAATTCAACGGAACAGTACACACTGTACCTCAGACCATAACTGTTATTCCGACACACATTTCCACAGGGAGTAATGGCTTACCATCCATTTTACAGACATGCCAAATAGTTGGTCAGCCAGGCCTGGTCCTCACACAAGTAGCTGGAGCAAACACCTTGCCGGTAACAGCACCGATAGCCTTGACAGTGGCAGGGGTGCCAAATCAAAGCAGTGTACAGAAAAGTCAGGCTCCTGCTGCTCCTGCTGCTCCGCCTACTGCGGAAACAAAACCAGCAGCAGCAGCAGTCCCAGCTCCTCAGCTTGTCAAACATGAAACTGCACCGGCAAACCCTGATTCATTTGGCATTCGGGCAAAAAAGACTAAAGAGCAACTGGCAGAATTAAAAGTCAGCTACCTTAAAAATCAGTTTCCCCATGACTCAGAAATTATCAGACTTATGAAAATCACAGGTCTGACAAAAGGAGAGATTAAAAAATGGTTTAGCGACACAAGGTACAACCAGAGAAATTCAAAGAGTAATCAGTGCTTACATCTCAACAATGATTCTTCCACCACCATTATTATAGACTCCAGTGATGAAACCACCGAGTCACCAACTGCCGTTACTTCACAACATAAGCAGTCCTGGAATCCTTTCCCCGACTTTACTCCCCAGAAGTTTAAAGAGAAGACAGCAGAGCAGCTCCAGGCCCTTCAAGCAAGCTTTCTCAACAGCTCTGTACTGACAGATGAAGAATTAAATAGGTTGAGAGCACAAACCAAACTGACCAGGAGGGAAATTGATGCTTGGTTTACAGAGAAGAAGAAATTGAAAGCTTTAAAGGAAGAGAAAATGGAAACAGATGAAACTAATGCAGGTAGTTCCAAAGAAGAAGCGGGAGAAGCTTCTCCCGGAGATGAATCTGGTGCACCTAAGTCAGGGAGCACAGGCAAGATATGTAAAAAAACACCTGAGCAGTTGCACATGCTCAAAAGTGCATTTGTCCGAACGCAGTGGCCGTCACCAGAAGAGTATGACAAGTTGGCCAAAGAAAGTGGGCTTGCTAGACCAGACATAGTTAGTTGGTTTGGGGACACCCGTTATGCTTGGAAAAATGGAAACTTAAAATGGTACTACTACTATCAAAGCGCCAGTTCCAGTAGCATGAATGGTCTGTCTACCCTTAGGAGAAGGGGGAGAGGGAGACCCAAAGGAAGGGGAAGAGGGAGGCCGCGTGGGCGGCCTAGGGGAGGCAAGAGAATGAACAACTGGGACCGGGGGCCGTCACTCATAAAATTTAAAACTGGAACTGCGATACTTAAGGATTATTACCTGAAGCACAAATTTCTTAATGAGCAAGACCTTGACGAACTTGTTAACAAATCACATATGGGCTATGAACAGGTCAGAGAGTGGTTTGCCGAAAGACAGAGGAGATCAGAGTTAGGTATAGAATTATTTGAGGAAAATGAGGAAGAAGATGAAGTTATGGATGATCAGGAAGAGGAGGAAGAAGAAACAGATGATAGTGACACTTGGGAGCCCCCCCAACATGTGAAGCGGAAGCTTTCTAAATCAGATGACTGAAATGTAAGTTTCTAATCTAAGTGTATATTCACCAGCCACACACATTTAGAACAGCCACTTGGTACCTGTCATCTCCACTTTTGATAGGTTTTTTCTTAAATAGTTTTTCTTTTACCTAATAAGAGAACTAAGTGCTATGAGTATAGCCAAGAAATATATGATTATCACGTGTAGTCTGATTATTATGATTGTTCTGTTTCTTATGTAGAGTTTAATATTTTTTACTTTAAGGGAAAGTTACCCATTCATTCTCTAAGAAGGGAGACTGATGGGTGGGAGGGAATTCACAAATACTAAAGATGACTAAAGTGTATTTTTGCAATCCTCCTTCACTAAAGCTTCATTTTTTGCCTGTTTAAGGAAAGAATTAAAAAACAAAAACTAAGAAGAAGGGGGAAAGTATACCGAAGGAGAGACTTGCCACAGGGGTGAGAATTGCTCAGTTTTAGGAAACTAGGTGAAAATGGGTATCTTTTTTTCTTTCATTGTATTGCCCCCGAAACTTAGATTTTTAACTAGAGTTTAAAGTGCTTTATATATTAGAATTACTTAATATATTTTCTATTAAAAGCCAAAGGTCTGTTTTAGGCCATATATTAATTCCATGTTCACTTAGGTGGCATCTGTTTTTGAAAACTGTAATATAAATTATTTCTGTTTTAGAGATCAAAAAGTAAACAACAGATTTGATATTAAATTAACGCAATTGCCTAAAATGTCTTTTCATTCTTTGATATAAAACAAACCTGCTACCAGCAGAAATGCTGTATTTGGTTAAAAATATTTCTCTGTAGTCATAAAAGTATAAGTAAATATGCTTTAAATTTAAAGGTTTGGCATATTCCTTAAATCTTTGTTCTTTTATCGGTTGGATTAATTAAAATTTCACTGTAGTTGCAAATCAGATACCTGATTTGGAGTTAGGACTTCAGTTCTTAATACTTTTGGAATTCAATAGCATAGTTCTATTGAGTGTTCCAGGATAAAACTGTACTTTTCAAAAAACAATGCAGTTGTCATGAAATGTTTGTATATGTCTATCAGTAGTCCAAAAGCATCTTGTTACTTGAAATTACTGCAGTGTTCTCAGACTGTAAGGGAGGAAACAAGGCATAGACCCTTATAATCATATGAGCTTATTTACATATTTCCTTAGCTTTCTGCCTCCCTATCCCAGCCTCTACTCTTATGCTCTCTTTTTTCTGCACAGTATCGCCTTAATTCCCCCAGTATCGTCTTCCTCCCTGGTTTTATTTATTTTGTTATAACAGTTATTTATAGAGAGTTTAATATCTTCCAGACACTATTCTTACTGCTTAGCAATCCTTTTCGAAGTTTTCTTTCCATTAACATTTTTTTTCAGGCAGAGAAAAAAATGAAACTAAAAATGCACCAACTTTTGAATAAATATCATTCTGGTTATAGAACAAAATGTATTGTAAGTCACAAGAAGTTAAACAGCTTTGTACAGCTTTATCCTGAGGGCAGCCCTCTATTTCCTAATGTCAGAAATCTTCAGGACAGTCTTTCTTCTGACCCAGATGCATAAAATATTTTTAATAGGCTTTTTTTTTTAATTTTTATTTTTTATTGCTAGACAACAAGAACGTGCATTCAGCCAAGATTAAATCAACAAAATTTTTGCCGCAATGAATTGTTGTAGTAACCTCTGCAGTGATTTTGTAAGGAATTGCAGTCTTCTAAAACTAATGTGAACTTTTTTGTATAGTTGAGTTTGACTTTACTTTTAAGTTTGTATGGATATTTCTTATATTAATACTCTTAATAGGTACTGTGGTAAAAAAATTCACACAAAGTCACAGTTTTCAAAAGTACTGTCATATATATAAAACATGTACTTTTGTGGTACATATACACACTTGCCTTGCTTTTAAAATATGCAAAAGTCTAAAATTATAAAAGGCATTAATTAGCAAGTTATTGGCTTAACAGATTGTTTTCATCTTATAAAAGAATTTGCCATAAGTTTCCTCTCAATAGTTACTTTTTCATTTAAATATGGTTCAAAAAAGTAACCCAAACCTTTCCAAAATAGTTATTGCAAAAAGCGAGATACAGTAGTCCCCTGTGTCCTCCGGGGATATGCTCCAAGACTCTCAGTGGATGTCTGAAACCACAGATAGTACCAAGCCCTATAAAAACTATGTTTTTTCCTATACATACATACCTGTGGTAAAGTTTAAATTTATAAATTAGACATAGTAAGAGATTAACTATAAAAGCTAATAAAATAGAACAATTATAGTATACTGTAATAAAAGTTATGTGAATGTGGTCTTTCTCCCATTCTACCCTTTCTTCCCCCCTCCGATAAAGGATCAGATAACCCTGAGGGCTACTAAGTGGCAAATGGGCAGGTAGTGAATACAGTCTGGATCTGCTGGACTGAGGGGTGATTCACGTCCTGGGCGGGACAGAGGGTGATGATGTGAGATTTCATCATGCTGTTCAGAACAGCATGCAATTTAAAACTTGTGAATTGTTTATTTCTGGAATTTTCCATTTAATATTTTTGGACTCTGGTGGACCACAGGTAACTGAAGCTGCAGAAAGCAAAACCATGGATAAGGAGGATTACTGTACACGTGTGTCTTTTGCACAAGCCAGCCTTGTACAGTAAGTCCTCACTTAATGTTGTCAATAGGTTCTGTGACTTTAAAGTGAAGTGATGTATAAGGAAACCAATTTTACCACAGGCTGATTGATATAAGCAAGAATTAAGTTCCTGGAGGATCTCATCAATGTTATAACAAAATGATGTTGAACCAATCAATGTTGTTTGAGGACCTGATGTGTATATAAATAGAAGAAAATACAAGAGTTTAGATTTCATAGTTTGTTTATTACAAATACTGACAATGAAATATATACTTCCTACTAATAATTTTAAATAAATTATTTCATATAGGTATATGTAATATAGGTAAAAATTATTCCATATAGGTAAAAATGTCTATAAGCAAATCTGGCACATGCAGAACCTATACACAGGACTTGCACACACAATCTAGCACATTATATAAGATATATGTGGCAAGTGATCTCAGTATTACTGAGTGAATACAGAAGATGTGTTTTCATGGTAATTTATATCATTTTTGTTTCTAAAAGTGGTAAACATTAAAATATGGTTTTCTTTAAATTTTTAGTTTTTTATTATGTTTTTCTTTTATAGCTGCCTAAAATGTTGGAGGAGAATCAGTTCTTCAACTCAAGCTGTCTGATTTACTGTGAATGGGCCCAATCTTTAATGACACTGAAACCCTTTGGGAACATATACATTCTCAAAAAATAGGATCCAGTACCCAAAAGAAATGGAACTTAATGTTGTGCCAAAGTTAAACTACTGCAGCTGGTGAAAGTTCTGCAATGTAAATAGAACACTAATTAAAAAACAACTTGTAAAAATTCAAATTTTAATACATTTTTATTCTGCTATGATGGAGACATTCTGATTCTTAGACTTTTAGAGGGGGTTTAGTGACCACTAGAGCTTGTCCTCACCTTTTGTCCAGAATAATACTGTATGTCTAGTGAGATGGGCCTTATTGTCTGTATCCTTTGATATGTTATTAAGCTTATAGCTTTGAGTGACCAGACATTTCTCAGAGGAAAAATCGTTGGAAACAGGAAAAAGAAAAACCTGATTTATTTCTGCCTTATTTATCAGGCCCTGCACGAAGATTTAAAGTTATGCATGGGCTTATACATTTTCAGTGTAAGTGAAAATACGGCCTTTTGACACATGTTGATTTTGTGGTATCATTGGCACTTAATAATTGGATCTTTCATGGATACCACTGTTACTATTTGTAATGCTTCTGTTACTTTTTTTCATTCAAAGCTGAATTTGCTTTTTATTAAACTGAAGATAACACTGAAGAAGGAAAAGAAACTGGCATACAATTTTGGATAGGGTGGAACTCTGAAATAAATCCTACTGTACCAATCCTATGGAAATCAGAAATGTTTGTGTAGGTGTCAGATCAGAATTTTCAAGAATTATCTTTCAGTGAAATTCTACTTCGTGTAACAATTTCAGTGAATAGAGAAAAAATTCTGAACTGATCATAATGAGTTAAAAGTTAGCTTTTCAGGAGACTGAAAGTTCCTACTAACTTATAAACTTTGTAAAGAACGGTGCTGTTCACTCACGTTGAGAAGGACCCTTTCTTTTGTGACTATAGGACCATTTTCAAAATGTGCTTTCTTTATAGAAGAAATGTTCAGTTCAATTAGCCTTGTATTTTATTTTATTTATTTTTATTTCCTTTTATTCCTCACCCGAGGGCATGCTTAGAGAGAGGAAGGGAGAGAGAGAGAAAGAATTGTAGATGTAAGAGAGAAACATGGAAACATGGATCGGGTGCCTTCTGTAGAGTATGTGCCCTGACCAGGAATCGAACTGGCAACCTTTTGGTGCACAGGACAGCGCTCAACCAACTAAGCCACTCCGGCCGGGCTCAATTAGCTTTGTATTTAAAATTGTTTTTTGTTTTCTTTTTTTCTTTTTCTGAATGACCAGATGTAGTGGGCTTGGCCAGTTTAACCTAATTTAATGAATAATAAATATTAAGCTCTCGTTTTTACCTAAATGTTTGTCAGCTAATAAAAATGTTATGAAAAAGCCTTGAATATGCATGCTGCTTTCATTTTTATAAACTTTTCATTTTTTAACTATAGCTTTATTAGTAATTCCAAAATGCTGCAGTTAGCTGATTTCTTCACTCAAACAGCTGGCTTTGTGGGTGGCTTTTTCATACTACCGTTAACTTTTTTTAAAAAGAAGCAATGTAAAGACTGTAACAATTTAATGCACTAAACTGTTCTTTCTTTTTTTTTCACATGTAAAAACTTCTTAAAGCTCTCTGTATTATAATAATTAAACTGCTCCCTTTTTTAAACCATTGCTAATGTTGTCTGAGTTTTGCTTGGCAATAATTTTAACGTTTTCAAAATTTGAAATGTCAAGTATTGGACAAGTATGAAGCCACTGAATATATTTATATTATGTTTCCCTTATTATAATATGTTAAGTTTGTATAGCTATAAATATCTATTAGTAATGTTCCCTCCTGTCTCTTTTGTAGGCTTGGCCCTTCATTTTGCTCTGATGTTTGCTAGCTTTTAAATATATTTGACAGAGCAAAAGAACTCTCTCCTGATTGTGTCCTTGAATACAAAATAAAAGTTAGCCGTGATCAGTAGTTTTTAGCGATTTCCTCCCCATTTTATTAACTTAGTTTTTTAAAAATGTGGTAAAATACACATAACAAAATTTACCATTATATTTGTTTTTAAGTGTACAATTCAACTGCATTAATTATATTCACAATGTTGGGCAACCATCACCACTATTTCCAGAACTTTTTCATCATTCCAAACAGAAGTTCTGTAACAGTTAAGCAATAACTCTCGATTCCCCCTCCCCCAGTCCCTGATAACCTTTAATCTACTTTGTTTCTATGAATTTTCCTATTCTTGGTATTTCAAATAAGTGGAATCATACAATACTTGTCCTTTTGCGTCTGGCTTGTTTCATTTAGCATAATGTTTTTAAGGTTCATTCATGTGGCATATATCAGATTTCCATGACTTTTTATGGCTGAATAATACTCCTGTGTGTGCTACACTTTGTTTACTCATCTGTGATGGGTGGACCTTGAGTTATTTCTACATTTTGGCTAGAAAAATGCTGCACTGACTATGGCATACCATTATCTGATTGAGTCCCTGTTTTGAGTTATTTTGTGTATATATTTAGGAGTGGAATTGCTGAGTTACAGCATAATTCGATGTTTAAATTTTGAAGAACCATCAAACTCATTAATGTCCCCCACCAGAGTGGTACTTGATGGACCTACACTGACACATCATTATCACCCAACAACCACAGTGTTCATCAGGGCTCACTCTTGGTGTTCATTCTGTGGGTTTGGATGAGTGGGTAATGATACGTATCTGCCATTACAGTATCATAGAGTCGTTTCACTGCCTGAAAAACCCTGTGTCCTATCATCTTTTTCTTCCCCCAACCTCTGGTGACCACTAATCTTCTACTATCTTTAGTTTTGCCTTTTCTAGAATGTCATCTAGTTGGGATCATACCGAGTGTAGCCTTTTTGCACTGGCCTCTTTCACTTAGTCATATTCATTTAAGGTTCCTCCATGGCTTTTCATGGCTTACTAGCACTTCTCTTTTTTTTCTTTTTTGCTCAATCCCTCCACACCAGCCACCCCCCTTCCCCCCCCACATCCCACCGTAGCTCATTTCATTTTAGTGCTAAATAATACTCTGTTGTCTGGATGTGCCAGTTTACTCATTCACCTGCCAAAGGACATCTTGGTTGCTTCCAGGTTTTGGCAATTATGAATAAAGCTGCTATAAACATTCATGTACAAGTTTTTGTGTGGACTATGTTTTAAATCCTCTGGGTAAATACCAAGGAGCATGACGTCTGGGTCATATGGTAAAAGCATGTTTAGTTTGTTATAACATTTTGCACTCCCGCCAGCAATAAATGAAAGTTCCTGCTGTCCCATATTCTCACCACCATTTGGTGGTGTCAGTGATCCAGATTTGGGCCACACTAATAGGTGTGTAGTGGTATCTTGTTTTAATTTGCACTTCCTTGATGACATATGACGTTGAACATCTTTTCGTGTACTTATTTGCCATCTGTGTATCTTCTTTAGTGAGGTATCTGTTAAGGTATTTAGCCCATTTTTTAAATCAGGTTTTTGTGTTCTTATTGTTGAGTTTTAAGAGTTGTATATTTTGGATGGTAGTCCTTTACCAGATAGATGTGCCTTTTGCAAATATTTTCCCCTGGGCTGTGGCTTGTCTTCTCACCATTCTGAAATTGTCTTTCGCAGAGCAGAAGTTTTTTATTTTAACAAACCCAGCTTGTCAGTTATTTCTTTCATGGATCATGCCTTTGGTATTGTATCTAAAAAGTCATTGCCATACCTGAAGTCATCTAGGTTTTCTCCTATGTTATTTTCTAGGAATTTTATAGTTTTCCATTTACATTTAGATCTATGATCTACTTTGAGTTAACTTTTGTGAATGATGTAAGGTCATTTTTTTTTGCATGTGGATGGCCAATTGTCAAGCACCATTTGTTGAAAAGACTTTTTTAAAATTCGAAGTACCTTAGTGGAATTAAGCTCTCTTTTTTCTAGACTTCCTTTGTACTTTATATTTCTATTAAGGTGCTTATTAATTTCTATTTTGTATTATATTCAGTCCCTTGATCAACTGCTTTTTACACAGTAGATACACAAGTGCTTTGATTGAAGTAATAGTGAATTTTATTACTTCAGTTGGGCTTGTCTATTCTGTCGTCACCATCACAGCTGCCTCCCCGAGAGGCCTCCGTATCTCTTCCTGACCTAGTCAGTGCTAACTGCTTCTCCCATGCCTACCCAACAGGTCTTGGTTTATCCTTTACTGAGTTCCTGTCAAGCTGGCTTTGTAAGCACATCTATTTCACTAGCTTAGAGCACTTTCAAGGCAGAAACCACATTTTAAAAATCTTTTAAACTAGCTTTTATTGAACACTTACCATGTGCCAAGCACTAGGCTGAGGATTACATGTCAGTCCCCACAGACAGTCCATGAGGTAGATGCTATTATTACTCCCATGTATAGTTGATGAAACTGAGGGTCACAGTGGTTCATATTCACATGCAGAGTAAGTGTTGGAGGTGTCCAACCAGAGCCGTCTCCAGAGGTCTCACCCTTAACTGTTGCCTAGCCAGTGTCTTCACAAAATTGTTAATAAATGTTCAACAAATTGAGCTAGAGATTGCGAGTTTGGGAGCCAGGAGAGAAGAAAGCAATGCCAGGCTGGTTATGCACATAGCTGGTGTTGGCAGACAATGTTTGTCTTTGGGACGACAGCCTGTGATACTGGAATGAAGTGAACTGAGAAAGCCCTGAGAAAATTTTGTTTGGCTCAAGACTTGCTGGCCTGAATAAAAGGGCATTAAATTGAGATTTGTAGTGGGATTAGGATGGGGGAGGGGTAGAGAGGCCAAAACTCAGCTACACAGATCATATGACAGCCAAGGGAGTGACAGGAAAATAACCTGACACCATGGGAATCATGCACAGTCAATGCAAGAAAGTACAGCCCGGAGGCTAGGAAGATAGAACTCTTGGGAGTTTGGGATCATTAGATCATTCATTCACTCAGTAAACGTGTACTGAGCATGCGGTATATTCTGCCTGGTGACTCGCCCTCCTGTCCCAGGCATGCAGCTAGCTTTCCCTCTCACTCGCTTAGCCTCAGCGCCACAGCTTGCTTTCTACTCCTTGCAGCTTTTCAGACGTTGCTTCCACCTGCAAAGCTACCTCAAGATGTCCTCTTGGCCAGCTCCTTCTCTTCACTCCAGGCTCAGCTCAAAGGTCACCTCTTCAGAGGCGCCTTCTTGGCCACCCTACCTGAAACAGTCTCTTTCTCATACGTCACTCTTCCAATTTTATTTATAGCACTTACCACGGTCTAAAACTACTTTGTTCATTTATTTACTCGTTTGTTATATGCCCACTAGAACTTAAGTTCCATGAGAGCAAGGATCTTGTCCGTCTTACTTATTACTGTATCCTGAGGATACAGTCCTTGGTTTATAGCAAGTCTCAAGAAATTTTAGTTGAATCAATGAATGTACCTATTACAAAAATTTACAGGCTATGGGAAATAAATGAGGGAGCTCAGTATGTTAAGATAAGTTAATAAATACCCAGGAGAATTAGTGGGATGCGACCCATGCCAGTAATGGAAGGGTATGGATGCTTTGCCCGAAAGAAACAGAAAAAGATGGAAGGGGAGGAAAAGCAACATTTACAAACATCTGAGGAAGCAGAGCAGGGCTCAGAGGGAAACTTCCCGGGCAAGGGAAGGGGAGGAAGAGAGGTGACCTCAGCCCGGAAGGTGTTTTACAGGCTGCTGAGCCCCACTGTCCTCTACCCTAGCACTGCCGCAGTCTGTAATAAATAGTTTGCTGCTCACATGCTTATCATATGTCTTCCCCACCTTAACTTAGGCTCCTTGAGAACAAGGACCACGAGTGGCAGGTATATCCTCAGCACCCGGCACACAGTAGGCCCTCGAGAACACTTTGGGTTACGCACAGGCTGCACAAACCAATCCTGTGCCCGAGCGCTGCCCTAGAGGGGCCTAGGGTGGAGGAGGGAGAGGATTCACTCGCAGGCAGTGTAACCATTACCCATTCAAGAAACATGGAGGGAAGTGCCACAGGCACGCTGGGTGCCGGGAGAGAGGCTCCCTGCCTAGGACGAGGTCACGGTCTCCTGGGGGTGATGGACAAGCAAGCACGGGGAAGCTGTAGGAAAGAGAAATGTCCTGTCAGAGAGGAACAAGAGGTGTTACGTGAACCCAGACAAGGGACGTTTCACCCAGACTTGCGGCAGCAGGATGGAGGACACTGGGAGGGGTCCTCTTGACAAAAGCAATGGTGAGGTGGTAGCTGGTGAGGGCGGGGAAGGCGGCAGATGAGGGAAAAACTTGGGGGAGGCCAGTTCCCAAGAGGACCAGCTTGGCTGGCGAGCACTGAGGGGAGCGGGGTGGCCCCCTAGGGTGAGGGTGTGGGACAGAAAATAGTGTTGCAGACAGACCCCTGGAAGACAAATGGTGGAAGAGGAGCTGGTGCAGACCCCAGTGAAGCTCCACGTCTGTTTCCGCTGTGCATGTGGCACAGTGACACTGCCGTGCAACACCGGAGGGCACTTTGCCAGCAGTCTCAGCTTCCCGGTCTCTAGGAACACCCTGAGGTGTAAGAATGCTGGTAGATGTTAGTCTTAGAATTCTGGCATTTGGTTGTTTTCTGCAGGCAGAATTAATGCTCCCTGATGGAGCCCCCAGAGTAAACCTCTGTATCCGCTGTTTTACGAAGGCGTTAATTATTCTGGTCTTTGTCGTTGGTCAGGGGTCTGTTCTCCGGAGACGGGGGATACTGACTCACTTATTTCCCAGCCCTTAGCCATGTAATACTTGATCCTGAGCAAGTTACTTAACTTCTATAAGCCCAATATCTTCATTTGCAAAATAGGAATCACTGTGCCTTTCATGAGGAAAGGATATAAAGTGCAAAAAGGTGCTTAACTGTCAGGAATACCGTCTGTGGTGTGAAAAAGTGGTACCTACGGGTTTTAAACAGCTACCCTGGGGCCGGTGCTTTCTGATGCGAGCATATAAGGAACGCGCTGTCCATCTCCTGGAACCGAGAAGTCAAACTCTGTCCCCGACTTCCGTCAGATTGCGAATCAAGTAAAAATTCTCAGCTCAACGACGACTACCAACCCTCTTCGAGCCAAGCCTCGGTTTGGCCTCCCGGGGACTACAAATCCCAGCATGCCGCGCTCCGGGCCGGGCCCGCACGTGGGCGCCGCTCTAGGCGCCGTCTCCTCTCGATGCCCTGCCGCAGGCGCGCGATGGAGGCCGGGTGCTGGCCGCTCGGCGGCGAGTTCGAGGACTCGGTGTTCGAAGAGGGGCGGGAGCGGCGCCCTGGCCCGTGCGCCTCCTACCGCGCCAAGCTCTGCGAGCCGCGGGTAAGAGGGCAGGGCCTCCTGTC